TAATTCTTAAACTACTGGTTCAAATTTAATGAAATTTGAAATATACCGACCGAGTTTATACAATGCCTACTTGGTTAGTGAAAAGGCTTCTAGTTTTGTCCACAACGAAGTAATAGGGTTTCGAAAATGGCCTGAACTGCTTCGAGAAAAGGATGGTACGGCCGTGCCGCTCGAATTGGCGGGGGCACTGCCGTGCCCCCAGCAGATATCGGTATATTTACGAGTACGAGTTCTACCGTGGCACCAGTGTACGGCGCTGGTGTCGCAAGAGAAAGCACGGTATGTTTTTGGTTTCAACGTTTTCGTTCTGGAAATTTCGACCTTCAGAACCAACCCCGTGGACGGCCGGAGCCCAAATTGGAAAATGAAGAATTAAAGACTATTGTGGAAGCGGATTTATCACAAAGCACTTCAGAGCTAGCTGCAGGCTTCGGGGTAAGTGATAAAACTGTATTAATTCACTTGAAGCAAATCGGGAAAGTAAATAAACTTGAACGATGGGTACCTGATGAATTGAGTGAATCGAACTTGCAAACACGCATCGACTGCTGTGTTACTTTGCTCAACCGACACAATAATGAAGGGATTTTAAATGGAATCATTACTTGTGATGAAAAGTGGATACTGTACGATAATCGGAAGCGCTTGTCGCAATGGCTGAACCCTGGAGACCCAGCCAAATCCTGACCTAAACGACAATTGACTCAGAAAAAGTTACTTGTGAGTGTTTGGTGGACTAGTGCCGGTGTCGTTCACTACAGTTTCTAAAATCTGGCCAAACGATTACGGCAGATATCTATTGGCAGCAACTGCAAACCATGAAGAAAGAACTAGCTGCTAAACAACCGAGATTGGTCAATCGCTCTACGCCACTGCTGCTTCATTACAATGCAAGACCACACACTGCACAACAAACAACCACTAAGTTAGATGAGCTACAATTAGAATGTCTGCGACATCCACCGTACTCCCCGGAATTTGCTTCCGTTTTTTCCGGAATTTGGACAGCTTCTTACAAGGAAAAAAATTCAACTCCGATGCGGCGGTCCAAACCGCCTTCAAAGAGTTTATTGATTCTCGCCCCCATGGTTTTTTAGTAAAGGGATCAATGAACTACCTATGAGATGGCAAAAGTGCATAGATAACGGCGGTGCATACATTGATTAATTAAATATATTTTACAAAAAAAATGACTTTATATTCCTCCCGTACAAAACGTCAATTTCATATGTAAGGACCTAATAAAACAATCAAATATTTATGTAAATTATACCCAAAAACTCGTTTTAAAAAACAATTAGCTGCTGACTTCAAATTCATGCATAAATGTTTTGTATGTTAATCAAATACAGTCTATTTTAGCTTACATATACACAAAGTTGTGTGTGAGTTTTATTATAGTATAGAATCTATATGTGAACACGCATCATGCAAAAACCTGTAAACCTATTTGAATGGGACTTTCACTGGCAAATAGCTGATGTTATAAGGAGTAACTTAGGCTACTTTTATTTTAGGAAAAGAATTAGAGTTCCGCGTAAAAGAAATTAAAACCCATGAAATTCAATCGTAATAAACTCCAAGCGGGCGAAGTCGCGGGGAACAGCTAGTATATAATTAAAATTACATTATGTTTACAATAATAATACTTTAAAGATTGGTTTTATTCAAAACGGATATTATTACATTTCAATACATGTCATGTAATACAATATCCTATGTTGATGTAATGAATATTCCCGGCAGCGTACACAAGATATAACCTACAAGCTGGAATAGGAAAGATCACCAGCCAATTATTGCAGACTGATGAACATATCCAAAAAAATCAAACTGACATTCCCATTTGATGAGAACATACAAAAAACAGTTCCTAAAACAAAATTGTTTCCTTTTAGGGTTCCACGTAAAAAAAAAACTTAAATAAGACGCGGAAGAGGTCACGGGGGAACAGCTACTTACAATGCTTATTATCGAATATGCTTTTAACATTTGTTCGCAAAAAAGTATAGCTGTCCTGGGAAAAGACATAAGGGGCCATTCATTAATTGCATAAGGATCCCGAGGGTGAGGGGGGGGGGGGGGGGTAATAAAATCTCTACATGCCCTTATCTTGTCGGGGGAGGGGGTTAAAACTAGCGTCCGACCGAAACAGGATTTTCAACCGAAACCGAAACCGAAAACGAACCTTCGGTCTGGGTGTCAGTTTCGGCCGAAACCGAAACCGAAACTTATTTAGACATGTTAATTTTTTTATTGTATACTGAAATCTGGTATTTTTTTATACATAATATTATACAGATATGTAATGCATGTTAATTTTTTTTTTATAGGATAAGGGTGACAAACGAGCACACACTCCACCCGATGGTAAGTGGTTGCTGCGGCCCATAGACATCTACATCTATCCTCTTTTACAAATCAAAATGTAGATGCGTTGTCACCCGTGAAGACTAAGATGGAATGCCTCATTTCCAGTAAAAAGGGCCTCCGGCCACCTGCACTCACCAAGCGAAACGCAGAGGTAAACCTCTACTTCACGCTTGTTTTCTGTGAGGTCGTGGTACCACCCCGGTTCGAGCCGGCCCATCCGTGCGACAGCAAAAGCTGCCGCGTGGCTCTACCACTGTTAAATGAAAAAGAGTCATTGTAATAGTCATGTAGCAATATAAAAATCAACAATTTAACGTTAATAAATACTTTTTTAAGTCATTTTGTAAAAAAAAAGTCAACACTCAAACCCATAAAAAGTTTTTGTTTTTTTTTTAGTTTAATTGAGAACATATTTTATTGCGTTCACAATATTGTTAATATTATTCAATGAGAGCATTAACTTAATATATCACACTCACACACTTACTCACAATATACACACAACTTAACAAAATCCCAGAAAATATACATTAGAACCCGCCAATTTTAGAACTATTTCTGTACTACCAACACTTAGTAAGATTTTTGAAAAAAATATTCTTGATCAAATGTTAAATTTCTTTAATATAAATAATTTACTTCATAAAAATCATTTTGGTTTCACAAGGGGTTGCTCGACAACTGATGCCGGTGTTGAGCTGATTAAATATATATTTAATGCATGGGAGAATTCACAGGATGCTTTGGGTATATTTTGTGACCTATCCAAAGCCTTCGATTGTGTTCACCATGAAACATTAATCAGGAAACTTCAACACTACGGTGTAAGAAGTGATGCTCTTAAATTAATTATTTCATATTTAAGTAAGAGAACGCAAAAAGTTGTCATTAACACTATGAGTTCTTCCTGGTCGATGGTACAAATGGGCATGCCTCAAGGCTCAATTCTCGGCCCCTTTCTGTTTCTTGTATACATTATGACTTACCTTACATAGTAGGATATAACAATGATATAGTATTATTTGCAGATGACACTTCTTTAATTTTCAAATTAAGTCGACAATTGCTAAAATATGACGAAGTAAATAATGCTATACCTAAATTAGTAAATTGGGTCAATGTTAATAATTTGCATTTAAATGGCACTAAAACGAAATGTATGAAATTTATGACTCCAAATGTCAAACAATTAAATACTAATGTAATTTTAAATGGGGAGAAACTGAGTCTTGTAGATACCACAATTTTTCTTGGAATCACACTAGACGCGAAGCTTCAATGGAGCCCCCATATATCAAAACTAGCAAGCAGACTTAGTTCTGCAGCATATGCCGTAAAAAAGATTAGAAGTCTAACTAGTGTTGAAACAGCTAGACTAGTTTACTTTAGCTATTTCCATAGCATAATGTCGTATGATATTTTGCTATGGGGACACGCAGCTGACACTGAAATTATATTTGTTTAACAGAAGAGGGCCATATGAGCAATTTATGATTTAAAGCCTAAAGAGTCGCTGTGACAAAAATTTAAGGAAATTAATATATTTACTTTGGCCTCTCAATACATTAATGAAAATGTAATGTACATACACAAAAATAAAAGTAGTTTTACAAAAATAAGTGATATTCATTCTGTAAATACTAGGAACAGACACAAGCTAGTAGTACCAGTTACTCGACTCCATCGAGTCAGTAATTCTTTCTTGGGGCGATGTATACGCTTTTACTACAAAATTCCAGAAAATATACAAAATTTGACCTGCTCAAGGTTCAAAAACTTTATTAAACTAAGTTCGTATAAAAAGGGTTATTATAATATTAAAGAATTTACAGATGATAATAACCCCTGGAAATGAGGTGATCGCTACCAACCTATTTCTAATTTGTTGTGTTGTTAATTTGTGTAACATACATGATTGTAAGCTGTTATTTTAAAAAAAAATTCCGCTGGGTTTCTTGCTGGTTCTTCCCAGGACAGAGGATTTTTTTTTCCGAACCAGTGGTAATTATACAAAAGAGTGACTTTCAATAAGTATTATTTATAATCTATATTGAATAAAAAAGTTTCTGTTTCTGTTTCTATACAAAACCTGCTCAAAGTTCAAAAACTTTAATAAACTAAGTTTGTATAAAAACGGTTATTATAATATGAAGGAATTTATGGATGATAATAACCCCTGGGAATGAAGGGTTAAAATTTCCAATATGGACCATGGATTTAAATGCCCATATTTTTTTTGTAGATAGTACTCACTAAAAGAAAGCGTTCTGCAAAGTTTCAATATGCGGAAACAATATATACTAGATACAAAAAAAATATATAAAGCAAAATATAGTTTTCTCTATCACTTGGCTCCCTAATTCTCATTGAACAAAATACTTACATTTGGCAATTGCTAGTTTTGTAAATAAGTAATACTATCTCACGTTAAACTATTTAATCAATAATCAATGAATAATAAATAAAAATTTAATTATTTATATAGGATGGGTGTCTTTAATTTTATAAGATCCAATGGAAATTACAACACCTAATATAAAGAATAGAAATACCACATATTTGTAAGAGTACCTATTATGTACAGTTTTTTTTTTTTTATAATTTAGGAGGAAATACAGGGCACATACCTTTGCAGTTAATATCTAAATTTATTTTTCCTTCTTTCTTTGCTTCAAGTAATGCTTTTACTACAGATATTTCGCCATGCCTAGCTGAATACAATAATGAATCTTCAGCTTCTCTTCCTATATCCTCTTTAGTAGACATATTAACGAAAGCTTTATTTTATATACAATGAATTTATTTATGCGCCGCTGGCGCCGCAGCCGCACATAAGAACCGGTATACATCGATGCATCGAATTCACTCGATGTTTACAATACGATGCATCGAATCGATCCGATGTTTTGGAAAGTTATGGATATACTCGATGTATCGATGTATTTTCATAAAACATCGAATCAATGATAACCAATCAATTGTAAAAAGGTATACTTATTTAGCACTATTAATATTATAACTTCGAAATCAGAAAAACTAAAACATTCTCTGATTTAGAAGTTATAATATTTAAAGCTGTTGGTGGCGCTAGTTGGCAGCTGTCAGTCCCTTAGCGGAATCAAGAAATTGAGATTGGCTGGTTGTGTATTAAAGAGAATCTAAAAAAAATCGTCTGGTCTGTCTCGGTCTTAAGGCGGCTACTCACTTTCGTGCCGCAGGGGCAATCTAGGACGAACAGCGATCGGGGCACCATTTTCCGTGCTTGCCTTTGCAGTGTACGTTTCATAGGGGCCATTCTTGTAGAAAATAACAAAATATTTACATTTTTATACAATATAATACGAACTACGCTATTTTAAATCAGGCAATAAAAAATCAGGGGCAATATCAGAACTGTCTCTACACACATGCCTGTCATTCTATGTAAGAGTGTACGTCTCGCTGGACATACGCGTTGAGAATGGCGCTAGTTTTATCAAAATATAAATGAATCGGTAAATATAGCCTTAGCTCTTTTTTTATATAGAATAAGGGTGACAAATGAGCACAGTCAACCTGATGTTAAGTGGATACTGTGGCCCATAGATACCCATATTTATTAATAAAACAACAAATTAATTAATAATTACACGTGGTAGAGCCATGCTGCAGCTACGAGTATATTAGTAATATAGTTGTAGCACGAATGGGTCGGCTGGACCGGGTAAAAACCACGCTCTCACAGAATACCAACGTAAAATAGCAGCTTAACACTGCTGTGTTTCGTATGGTGAGTGTAGAGAACCGGAGACCCTTTTTACTGGAAAAGAGGTATTACATCTTAGTCCTCACGAGTGACAACGCATCTGCATTTTGATTCTTTATTGAGGATAGATGTAGATGTATATGGGTTACAGCAACTACTTACCTTATGTGCTCGTTTGTCACCTTATCCTATAAAAAACCCATAACACAGTCCTTAAAAGCTGCAGTATTACTCTACCACGTTTAAAATCGTTACAACGTTTAAATAAGGTTCTTTCTGCGGTGCTACTGCAAAAAAAAGATAAAAAGGAGTATAAAAAGGGTGAAGAAGCCGCGCTTAATACACTTCTATCACCAGTGACCAAATTTCATATTTTTTATTGGTATCCATTATGACGTGTGATGCGCGCGAATGTCGCTAACGAACTGATTGGAATTGCCCCAATTGCGCTACACACGTGGCAGCGGTAGATATGATCTAGGGAGCAAGGAAGGTCTTGCACCCATGTCGCTCTGTCACAGGGCTCAATTAGAAAATTGCTCCTGATTTCATACACACATCATAATTAAGGGTTATCCACACACTTACACCCTAGATTGCCCCTGCGGCAGGCAAGTAAGTAGCCTTTAGACCATTTAACCCAGTGGACTCATCTCGCATAGTTATTCCTCTCTGCCAAGGTATTGGATTTAAAAGCTTGTGCGTTTATAAAAACTGTTTACGAAATCGATTTTATCATTACCAGAAACGTTTCCGCCGTAGTAGGTGCTCTTTACAAAATGCCGATCGGAGGGGTTAACGTGTACAAAAAGTAGTCGAAATGCTTAAAGAGCAATGGCAGAAAAATAGTTGACAAAAATTATAGCGTCTAGAAATAATTTATATATAGAATGAGTTTTATTATTTTTCTATGATTTTTCAAATAAAAATGTATTTTAATTAAAGCCACAGAAAAAAACAAACATTTTTGGGAATATCAAATGACTGAAATCATTTTACTCTATTCAAATGTTGCCATTTAGTGTATTCCTACTATTTTAGTATACACTTTGTAACACTACTAACACAACACACAAAATATTTTTACATTAAGTTATTATTAGTAACAACTGTACTATCAGTAATAACAAAAATAAAAGTAATATGGCTGAGAATAAGTCTCTTACAAATAATTTCCTACAATAATACATTATCTCAATCATAGTAATATGTAACAATTCCATTTAATGTTATGGCAACACTAGCTAAAATAAAATGTCACTGTTTTTTTTACTGGCTTTACGGCTCTGGGTTCTAGCCCTTCTGAGAATATCACTATGGTACAAAAGCCCTAGAGCCATGCTAGAAATATACAATTATAGTATGCAAATATATAATAGAGATACAATAATCTAAAAACTCTCAATTATGTATTAAGCTAATATCAAACAACCGCAGGAAGCATGACTTTTTCCAAATGACATAGGACATAACCTAAAAAGGTTCAAATGTAAATATCTTTTTTTTGACGCAATCTCAGTACAAAATTCTTTGACAGAGTTATTAAGGGACTGACGCTTAACATTTTAAGATATTTTTAGTATATAGACGCTACCATTTCTTCTCAACTAATTTTATGTATGAAAGTCTGCCATTGCTCTTTACAAAAGGATGCAGTTATATTCCATATGTAAGTAATTTTATTGTGATGCATGCTTTTTTCTATTAAAATCATTTAAAATAATATAATACAATAAACATTGTATAAACAAAAATAATATAAACATTGACCTACTACTAAATGCGCTCAAGTGTCCGAGTCAAAAGAATTCTAAAATGCAAAAAGACTTCGTTTTGTCGACCGATAATACACTCCAAAACACCGTATTGTATCAAAACGAGCAAAACTATTTATATTTATATATATATTCGATAAGGACTATAAATATTTAATAATTTAAAAGTAATATTTTACTTAGATACAAGGTACGTAAATTCACATTAATTGTAAAAACAAAAAATCATACCGATAATTTTCGCTAGAAGCTACACAAGATGAAAACAGCTTCTGGTTGAAGTTGGAAGTCTACTAAATTGTCGCAAGTAAAATTATATATAGGTATAATACGTTTATATAGGTTGACTTGGGACACATTTTACGTGATTTTTTTTTGCATTCCTTAATATAGGAGTACCCTTAACCGACGAGCGTGTATGCGTAGATATATGGATGTAAAAGAGGCGAGAGAGGTGTGTCAGGATCGCGCCAAATGGAAGTCCGTAGTCTCTGCCTACCCCTCTGGGTGACAGGCGTGAGTGTTTATGTATGTATGTAATGTCCTTAATATAAAAGAATACAAAGAGCGAACTTAATGCTTTGAGGCATTCTCTATCAGGTGAGAATTTGATGTAGGTGTAGCAGTAGAATAAAAACAAAAAACAATAAATAACTAAGATATATATAAATTTTACTAATATATAAATACATACAGACATATATACACATCAACATATAAATATAAATAGTAAATATAATTGACTGAGAGAGAATGCCTTAAGGCATTAAGTCCGCCATATGTACGATTTTTTTTTTTGCATAAAAGTTTAAAAAAACAATAAATAAATAAATATAAATAACGATGAATACATACGTCTGTTAACAATAATATATTAGTTCTTAAGATTAAGACACTTTATGTTTCGTGCAATAAAGAATATCTATCTAACTGTCTAACATCCTTGAACACACGCACACACACACAAGGCGTGCGGACAAAGACAGTGCCGATGTAAGAGTAGATCATTCAAAATTATCGGTTATTTGAATGGGGTGGCAGGAAGTTGACTACAGATTTATAATGTAAAGTCATAAAAAGTACTCGATGTTGCAAAAACATCGATGTTTCTAACCGATGCATCGAAATATATCGATGCACAGTTTCGATGCATCACATCGAAAAAAAACATCGATGTATTTTCAAAGTGGACACCCCTAAACCGGCCTAGATAAAACTGGCATAATATCAATGTTACCAAAACCAAAACACATTTACCCTTAAAGGTTAAGTCAAAAACTCCCAAAATCACCTTATTTACGTGGAAATCCTCTAAAAATAAGTTCAATGCTTATAATGTTCTTTATATAAAAATCATTTAATATTTCAAATATTATTTCGTTTCCTTCTGATGGTTCCCACATATTAATATCATACATATTAAATTAACATAAAATTTTATGATTAAATGTTATAATGACGCGCTATTGCGTTGCAATGTGAATCAGATCATCATCACATTTGATAGCATTTCAAGAAGATAGAAAACAAGAAATTGCAACCGTGATCATTAATGGAAAACATACAACCCGAATTGTCAGACTTTTTAAAATGTTTATAGCCAGCTGCGCCACAATTATCCTAAACTTTTAAACAACAATCAGCTTTGAAAAAAGTGAAAAAATACCCCTAAAACTATAAGGCCCCTATATAATCCCATCCCACTTATTTACCCCCTAAATTTAGCGAGGAAAATCTCTAAAATGGGAACCCTACATTAGGATAATATACAACCATAGATAATATACTAAAATATACAACATCTGTCTTGCTAGTTTCCAAGCTTGTTTCTTTGACTTTGACCCACACACAAGTAAAAATCTGAGCTGTTGTATGTCGGTCACAGTCTGGTTTGCCGTATTTTGAGGAAAAAAGTATTAAACAACCGTATTTGATTATTTATTTTAAAATGTTCGTCATCGTGTTCACAAGATAATTAAACGTCGGACACTGTGCTCTATACGGATCATCATCTACAAGAGCTATCCAGTTTTGAAGAAACACCCACTCATCCACTGTTATCGATATTTCTGTTTCATATGTTTCCCATTTTTGTATTTTTGGCGAAGTAGTCACATTCAGTAATATTAAAGTTACAGCCTAAATACATGCTACTGCTGAGTACAAGCCTCCCTTAATTTTTCAGAGGGTTTTTAGAGCAGGGAAATGTCCGCGGTGCTGCTTCAATGCGTGTTGGCAAAAATTGC